GAAAAGAAAGAAAGAAGTAAAAATTATATGAAAACCGAGAAAAAAGGACTCACAGAAAACGTAGAAAAATGGAAGAAATTTTCAAAAAGAGAAAGAAACGACGAAAACTGGTGAAAAAGCAAAGAAAATGAAAACCCCAAGAAGACCATGAAGAAACAAAAAAAACCGAAAAAACAGAAAGTAAAAGAAAATATAAAAATGAAAAAGAAGAAAGCCGGACCAATCAATGAACATCACACAACGAACAAGATTTTTTTTTTACCAAAATGGGCTGGTCCAGAAACAACAGGGAAAGAAAAATCTTCAGGCGAGACATGCTATAAGCGAGATATAGCTCTCGCCAAGTGGTCTAGTCACTCTATAACGAGGCTCCAGATCTAATGTGCCTTCGGCCGCACTTGTGTCGTGTCCTGGGCCACTGCATGCGCTACTTGAGAAGGCCCATGCAAGCAAATGTTTACAGACATAATATATATGCTGAGAAAGAGAAACTTGGACGCTCCGGATCCAATGCCCGTTTGGCCGCACTTGTGTCGTGTCCTGGGCCACTGCATGCGCTAAAGGCACATGCAATATACTCCCTCCGTTCCTAAATACTTGTCTTTCTAGGCATTTTAACAAGTGACTACATACGGAACAAAATGAGTGAATCTACACTTTAAAATATGTCTACATGCATCTGTATGTAGTAGTCATTTGAAATGTCTAGAAAGACAAATATTTAGGAACGGATGGAGTAATATTTACATACAATGTATATATGCTGACGAAAGATAATCTGGTCTCAAATTTTAAGGACTATAATAGCCCTCTCAAAAAGTTTAAATTCAAATTCCTGACTTGCACATGAATTGATGAACTGTTGTAGAATCTAGCTTGGTTTAATCATCTAGTGAAGGTGTACACAGATAGCCGATTGGAATCATGCAGATAGCTATTGTTGATTAGCTCAAGAAGGGGAGAGAAGTCTGGAACATTGAGGGTTAATCTTATCCTTCCATTCCTCCACGGGAGTAGTATATACAAGGTGAGTTTTACATTTTCGTCCCTCTATTCTTGTTCATGTCACTAGTAGGTCCTCTCAACACTCCCCCTCAAGATGGGGCAAATATGTCTATGAGCCCCATCTTGTTACATAATTTCATATAATTTACAACACTAATACCTTTGTTTAGTACATCAGCAAGCTGATCACCTGAGTTGACAAAGCTAACTTGAAGAGTTCCCTCTTCTAGCTTCTCTTTGATGAAATGTCTATCTATTTCAATATGTTTCGTCCTATCATGCTGGATTGAATTATTTACTATATTTATTGTGGCTTGATTATCACAGTAGAACCGAAGAGGGCCCCTTTTGTACAATTGTAGTTCAGTAAGTAGTAAGCGTAGCCATACTAATTCACATATTCCAGAGACCATGGACCGTAACTCTGCTTCAGCAGTAGACCTGGCCACTACACTTTGTTTTTTGCTCCTCCAGCTAACCAAATTACCTTCAACAAAGATGCAGTAGCCAGAAGTGGACCTTCTATCATCTAGAAACCCATCCTAGTCAGCATTTGTGTAACACTCTATACTGAGATGTCCAGAATTTGAGAATAGAATTCCTTTCCCAGGGCATCCCTTTAGGTATCTCAAGATTCTATATGCAACATTTAAATGTGCAGATCTTGGGTCATGCATATATCTGCTCACAATACTCACAACATATGCAATATCTGGCCTAGTATGGGACAAATAGATTAGTCTCCCTACTAGCCGTTGATACTGACCTTTATCAACAGGATCACCTATATCTGCCTTAATTCGATGGTTTGCCTCAATTGGTGTAGAGGCATGTTTACAGTCTAGCATTCCAATCTCAACAAGTAAATCAAGAACATATTTCCGCTGTGAGAGATATATACCTTGTGATGAATATGCAACTTCAATTCCTACAAAGTAATTTAGATGCCCAAGATCTTTTACTTCAAATGCTTTTGCTAGCATTTTTTTCAACCTTCTTATCTCCTCATCATCATTACCTATAATAACAACATCATCAATATAAACCACAAGAATTGTAAGTTTGCCATGATTACTCCTGAAAAACAGTGTATGATCAGCATTGCTTTGCTGATAGCCAAGTGAGCGGATCTCCTTACAAAACTTCCCAAACCAGGCCCTTGGTGATTGCTTGAGTCCATATAATGATTTTTTTAGTCTGCACACCTTACCCTCTGTCTCCTTACTATTAAACCCATGTGGGATTTCCATATGTACTTCCTCTTGCAAGTCACCATGCAGAAAAGCATTCTTAACATCCATCTGAAAAAGGTTCCACTTATAATTCGCTGCTACTGAGATCAGGGTTCTAATAGTATTCATCTTAGCCACCGGGGCAAAAGTCTCATCGTAATCCACTCCGTATGTTTGACTATACCCTTTTGCCACTAGTCTGGCTTTATATCTCTATATTTTGCCCTCGGGTGTTTGCTTTATGGTGAACACCCACTTACAACCCACAACTTTCTTACCTGCGGGAAGTATAGAGAGTTCCCAAGTATTATTCTTATCGAGTGCAGTCATTTCTTCAACCATTGCTGCTCTCCACCTTGGGTCCCTTACTGCCTCCTGCCAGTCATGTGGTAGTGGTGCCATCGAATCTAGAGCAGCTATGAATGAATTGTATTGAGGACCCACAGAGGAATATGAAACATAATTGGAGACATTATAGGGTGACATTCTTGATGGCAATTTCCCAGCAGTTAATCGAGGTTGTTTTCGGTGGGCAATAGGTATATCTAGATCATCCAATGTAAGAGCATTATCATCACATGACGAAGTTACCTGTGGAGCCTGAGATGGTAATTGTGGGTCTGGAGTTGAGTCATTCGCATCAGGCTGCTCCACTCTGGATGGTGTTCTTTCTGGTTCATAGGCTTCGTGGTGAGGCTCCAAAGAAGTTACTTCCTCCCCTGCATTTGTTTCTCTTTTGATTGCCGCCTTCTTGTATACACTTGGCATTCCCTTTCTTCGTTTGGTTTTCGCCATTGTTGTACCTCATTTGGTGTATCTTGTTCCCTTCCTTCAGCAGGTATCACTCCAATAATCATCTTTTGTGATGTAGCATCGGTGTTCTCCACTTATTTATCTCCCCCTGTCTCATAGTCTGCACCTAAGAGGTCATCAGTAAACGAATCGGGAAATACATCAGATAAGTCGACTGATTCCCCATAAAATGGTTTATGTTCACGAAATACCACATCCATACTCACAAACATTCTCTTCTCGGATGGGCACCTACATTTATAGCCCTTCTGTTTACTAGAATACCCCACAAAAATACACTTTACTGCTATTGGATCTAGCTTCCCAACCGAAGGCCTATAGTCCTTTACAAAACATGTACACCCGAACACCTTTGGTGGAACTACATATGTAGTTCTCCCAGTGAGACACTCTATTGGTGTCTTGTAACCAAGCACCCGAGAAGGCATCCTATTCATCAAATAAGCTGCAGTCATCACTGCTTCACTCCACAAGTACTTTGGAACATTCATGGCAAACATTATGCACCTTGCAATTTCTAAAATATGCATGTTCTTCCTTTCTGCCAAACCATTCTGTTCTGAAGTACCTGGGCAACTAGTTTGATGGATAATTCCAAAGTTTGACAAATATTCATCAAAGTCCCCATTCACACATTCTGTGCCATTATCAGTTCGTAGCACTTTCACACAAGCACTATATTGAGTCCTAATCAGATTATGGAAATCTCTAAAGCATTCAAATGTTTCATTTTTATGGCGTAATACATAAACCCAGGTAGTTCTAGTGCAGCAGTAAATGAAAGTGACAAAGTAGCGATAACCATTAATAGTTGTCACTCTGCTAGGGCCCCACACATCTGAATGTATAGTCTGCAAAGGCACACACTTCTATTATCAGATGATAAATACGAGCTCCTAACTTGCTTTCCATACTGACAAGCATCACACATTAATTGTTCTTTACTAATTTTACAATATAGATTAGGGTAAATCTGACCCAAAATAGCAAAAGAAAGATGTCCCAACCGACGATGTTGAAGTAGGAATTCTTCTAGTGACGAGGGAGACACTGTAGCAGCCACTGCAGGAAATATATTACTATCCAAGTAATATAACCCATCACGCATGCTCCCTATCCCAATCTCTTTTCCAGTTCGAAGTTCCTGAAAAATACACCAAGTGGGGAAGAATATTGCAGCACAATTTAGCTCTCTAGTGATGCGGCTTATAGATAGAAGATTAATTGGGAATGCTGGAACATGTAAAACTGAAGATAATGACATATTTGGGCTGCATTTGACAATTCCAGACCCAACAATTGCTTGGGTTGAACCATCAGCCAATTTCACATTTTCCTTTTTTAAACAGGAATATAGTTGGACAACTCCCTAATAGAACCAGTCATATGTCTCGAAGCCCCTGAGTCAATTAACCATTGTGCACCAGCTGCAAGATAATCAGTACACATTACGATATGAGAATTACTACCAGAAAAATTTGCTGATGAAGAGGATGATGCATGTGACTCCTGAGGCTGTTCAACACCAAGATTTAGGTTCTTGAATTGACGCCACTTCTCTAGCTCATCGGGGGTTATCTCAATTCTCCATTTCTGAGACACTTCCCCGACAGTTGAAGTGTTTGCTCTTCCGGGAAACAACATGCCTCTTCCACGACCACCACATGCATCAAATAATCCGCCTCTGCCTCTACCTCGCCAGTCCTGGCCTCTACCACGACCTCCTCCCATCAATTTAGGGCAACCTACCACAAAATGTCCTGGTGATCCACATTCAAAACATTTTCTTTCAATGTTACCTGCTCCTGTTCTTTGGTATCTTCCACCACCTGCAGCCAAGAAAGCTGAGCATCTTTGCGTTACTCCTTGTGAAGCCGATCCTGCTGCCTCCAACCTTAGCCGAGTTTCTTCACTCGCTATTGCAGAAATTGCTTGCTCAAGACTTGATAGCTACCCACTACCATATAGAGCTGCTCTCCTATTTTCAAACATGGGATGGAGGCCATTTAGGAAGTCTCTAACACGTCTCCTCTCAGTCCACTTACTATGCTTCTCAATACATTTCCCACACTCCATTTCAACTGGATCATAGTAGTCCAGGTCACTCCACAACGTTTTAAGTTCAGACACATATTCCACCACTGTTCTCTCACCTTGGCTCAGCTCCTGCAACTCCTTTTGAATTTTGCATGCTAACATCTCATTTCCCACTCCTGAATATGTGCCTCTCAGGAGCCTCCAAATCTCTGAAGCATCTTTGATTCTCTCAACCTGCTTTGCAATCTGAGAAGACATCGAACTCAGAAGCCATGCCCTGACCAAAGCATTGGCTGCTCTCCATTTTTGGCCTTCTTTTGAACCTTCTTCCTCGGGTTTCTCTACTGTCCCAAGTATGTATCCTTCCAATTTCCTTGAAACCAGGATGGTTTCAGCATGCTCAGCCCAGCTTACATAGTTCTCAGGACCCTCTAACTTCACATGTGGCATCTGTAAGGGATGTATCTCCTCCTTTATTTCAGCCTCTGATTTGGAGCTGCTAGCTTGCTTGCTGATTGCATCAAACAGAGCCCTGTATTTCTCATCCATCGCTCGCAATATAGCCGCAAGCTCACCGGAAGTAACTGCTGGGGCATCACTGATTTCGGCCATCTCCTCTACATGCTACACTTCCACTTCTCAGATTCAAGCCTCTGCACGCCGCACTAGCTAGCCGTCAGCTCCTTTCTCCTTCCTAATCACACCACCAGCCTGGGCAACCTCCACACGCAACCACACAAACAGCCAACTCACCCGTGGTAAATCAGACCACTGCTCCTCGCCGCCTTGTTCCTCCCAACACCTCCTTCACCGCGACAGCACTCTGCTCAGTTCCGCCACTGCACTGAGTCGCCTCATGGGCCCAGGTCGCCCTCCTTCACGGTGTCGTTGACCACCAGCACCACCACCAACTTCCGCCGCCTCCGAACCCACTCAACACCGTTCCACGGCCGCCGTTGCCTCGCCGGAGACGGGTGGCTCTGATGCCATGTTGATTAGCTCAAGAAGGGGAGAGAAGTCTGGAACATTGAGGATTGACCTTATCCTTCCATTCCTCCACGGGAGTAGTATATAAAAGGTGAGTTTTACATTTTCGTCCCTCTATTCTTGTTCATGTCACTAGTAGGTCCTCTCAACAGCTATGAACACAAGGACCGCCATGTGCCCAGGATTCTGCAATTCAGGATCATGATACTTGTTCCTCGCCACAAAGAGGTAAACCCACCAACGCCATGCTTGCCAACATAGTAAAACACCGCGGAGAGAGATCGCCTGGCTGTGAGTACATATATCGACGAACGTATCGAAGAAACTACAATGGCAAATCGTTTAAAGGAAACTGATAACAGAATACTAGTACATATATGCGTGCAAGGCGCATGTACCCTGAAGAAGATCGTCCAGACGGCCATGAACCCACGGACGGCGGAAGAATAATCATCAGTTTTGTCGCATCCACCTTGCTCCATCCTTTGTAGCAGGAGGTCTTCTTCCATCTGAGGCTGTCGATAACTCCTGCCTGATGACCAGGGGCACGCCGGCGGCATGGTGAAGCTTGGCGGCCGGCAGATATATGGATGCTTTCCTGCCCGTGGGCGCTTGCGCAGATCTGATGGGATCGGAGAATTAAACGTGTAACGTGGACGATCGATCGATCAAGAAATTAAGCTACCGGGCGAACTAAGCCAACAGTCTATAGCTATGTACGTGTTGCCCCTGGTCTATCTATACTAGTAAGTATGCACGTGCAACGCACGTCTCAATCAAAGTAGCCTATGAAATTCATGTGAGTATTGAATTCTAAATTCATATTGAGATTAATTAACTTCAATGTGGCGGAAGCTCTCCTGCGTGAAATGAAGCTTAATGTATACTACTCCCTGTTCACAAATATATCAATACAGAGGGAGTTCTGTTTACAAAAAAACATGAAAAATAATGATGAATCCATGTAATAGAAGTATCTATGCCGCCCATGTAGATATTTGAATAATAAATTAGTGTCTTCATGAAGCAATACAATCTTGGAACATAGCATTGGCCTTGTTTCATAGCAGTTGTGCGGGTCATCTTCCTGATTAGAAACATTTGGCTTCAGGCCTTCAACTCTTCACCCCAAATCATTTTCTTTAGTTCCGAACCGATGATAACTTCAGTTACAAGGATAGAATAAAGTGACGGCGGGACTCAAAAAATGTATCATGCAGTGAATGATTCATAGTATGCTCCATAAAGAGTATGCAAGTTAAATTAATTAATTAAACCAACATGATGCAAGGAAACATCATCCTGAAACCGAGCCTAATCTAAACAAACACTTGACAAAGGAAAGATTAAAATCGTGCATAAAGCTAGTTACCATGATGTGCACCTGTGCAGAATCTGAGATGAGCAGAAGCACAAGATCTCTGCCCAAAACCATCTCCCGTATGTCTCCCAATGTCCCGGTTTCCGCAGTGAGCCGAGATGCACGTGCTTCCTCAAAAGATTTAGAACCTTTCCTGAGACCGATTTGAAAGCGAAAAGACAGCTTATTGAACATCTGACATAATAGTCCAAAGTACATACCAGATGGGACATAATACCAGCTGTCACATGATTTCCATATTCCAAGTTGTACAATATGAAATGCTCAATTTAAGCAAGAACAAGTAATAAACAGTGCCCAGTGCAAGTTATAAAGGTAAAGAAAACAATAAACTTTAGTTGTGGGTGTTCACTTAGGACTGCAAGCAAAAGCTTCAGAGATTTTCACTCAACACACGGTGAAAACTCCTTTCCATGTCTAAAGCTGGAGATACATAAGAATAACAAACCTTAAAGACGATGTCATACTTGGCTTCAACCAAATAATCTCTCAGGTTATGGGCCTGCGCTAGACCCTGAAAAAGCACCCCCAAAATATTCCATGAGCCAGTGCACAGACTTACAGACTCAAACACAAGTAGCAGAATAGAACAAATATGTGTTGAATCCATCACTCAATTTGAACACACCGACTGATGTGTATATTCAGGTAGTATCTCGAGTAGATAGACATGTAAATATTGGGAGTTAGGAAAGAAACAATGCAGCGAGGGGAGCAGACTGAACCTGGGAGCCCCATCCGATGACTCCGATCTGCTTGACGCCCTTAAACGCTTTAGGAAGCAGTGGGAAGAGGTTCCGCCCGCCCCTCACGATGTACTGCAGGGAACAACACACAGAGAACAAATTGTCAAAACCCAATCCCGAGGAGGGATAAGGAAAGCGATGGAGTGGAAGTGGTGGTGCATACCTCCTCGAGTCCAGCTAGGGAGACCGTTGAAGACAACGGTAAAAATGTAGACAACTCTGCTTGATCGTGAACATGGTACTTCGAACCGATTAATCATCGACTAAAGCGTTCCACAAGCTCCTGACCTTAATGGTTATAGATAAACATCATGAAAAAGATATTCAACAAAGATATATAAAATAATTATTGAGAGTTGAGAAGTTAAATCAGAATACATCTTCACTAAGACATCTCTAACGATAACACAATTTATTACACAGATCTCACATGCTTCTTTAATTCTAGATGATCTACTTTAATCAAGATTTCCATGGTGAAAATAACAACCATTCTCGCATCTACACTTAAGTATTGCAATCTCAAAGACATTATTGTTGCAGCAATTACGTTGACATAGCTGTACTATTGCTAGAATTTGTAGTGCATCAAGTCGGGTGTTCTTTTAGCACTGACCAACCATTTTTTATTAGAGATAGTAATTCTCAATTGAAAGGTAATCTTAGAATATAGAGTTGACGTTTAGCAGTATCTTCTATGGGCAGCCAATCCGCGTAAACTGGATAAAAATGGGTTCATACTTCATTCTCCGACTTGAATCAAGGATAGGCTCCTACCGATTTCCAGTAAAAACAAAATGCAATCTTATTAGTAGTAGACTCAAGGAAGCATCAATACATATAATTTTTTAGTGTGATGGTGATAATTTTGTTGCACGTCTCGACTAATACAAATACACCTGAAATACATAACACCCTACCAGAAATCTAAGCTACAAAAACATACGCTTTGTCGACTTTTGATATGTTTCAGACTTTGATTTAAGTCATTCTTAAAATACCCATTCATGTACAGAATTGCATAAACGTGACAAGCATTCGTGGATGCATGAACCTTCGTTTTGACGGTCTTGATGGTCTTGTGAATGCCTGAAATATGAGCGATGGCTGGAGGAAACGTGTTCGCTACAGCATGGGAGCTAAACCACTCCAGCAGATTAGTGCCAAACCTACCTCGTGTGTCCGTAGTCACAGGCCAGCAAGCAGAGCACAGTGATAGTCATATAGTGGTAGGTGGGCAGAGAGACAAGATCAAATCGACCCACCCAAACCAGAAAAGTCAGTGAATCCATGACGAAAGCGGAGGTGCACGTGCTGGAGCGAGATCCCGTGTGGTATCGGCGACGGGGATGCCGTCTCCGGAGCTCCCCATCACCTCTTCGACGATGACCGGGTCTTCATGGACCCTGTCGAGCGCCTCTTCTTCTACTGCCATGTCGACCCGGCCGCAGCGTTCCCGCTGCCCGCTGCCTTCCTGCCGCATGCGCTCACCCACTTCTTTCCGCTCCCTGGCACTCTCAGCCCCGCCGCCCGCTGCTTCTCCTACTCCAGCGGCCACGACGCTCGACCTTGTCCTTGCAAGTCAATGGAGGACTTCAATCAGCATCAGTATGAGATTACACCTCCTGCGCTGCATCCAGATGGTAGTAGCTTGAGTATTACAGTATTATATTGAAATATGGATCAACTTCAAAATAAACAAGTTTGACAATCAACTTCATGATCCATTCAATTTTTCCATAAATACACATCTATTGTTCTAACTTCTAAGAGTGTGGCCTCACCTCCCTGCAAGAGATCAAGATCCCAATCCTCTCCAATCTGCCGTGACAGAGTCAACTCAGCCGACCTCCCACAGATAACACGGACATAGTTGACTGTTGCAGGATAGAACCCGAGGCGTATATAGATAAGTTGCCCACAGTGATGCCTGAATCTGTTTTCGCGGCATACGATTCCCACTTAAGGTGAGCATGTGCTCGGCAATAGGCGTGCTTGCAAACACTTGTAGGTGCATCATGCTATGGCCTAAAGCACTTCACTGCAGGACCTAATTCCGTTTGATGCTGCAAACCTTTAGGGATTCAAAAATCAACTCGAAAATTTGTCAAAGACCTTGTGAGATTCATATTCCACTTACTGGGATCAACTATAAAAATCAGCTAGGTTGATTTGTACAACAAATTGCAAAATGGTTACTCAGATAATTAAATCAATAAGCCTAGAAGGATGTGGCCAGATAGATTCATCTAATTTTTATGGTTTGCCAGGATATGGCCAGATCGATTCATCAGCAAATAAATTCCACATAAAAAGCACTCGAACCAACAAAAACCAGCACGGGACTGATTGCTAATTACTAAGTTGCGTACCTATGATGCGGCTGGCCTCGGCGACCATGGGACGAGCGTGGGTTGGGGTGGAGGTGGGGATCAGTAGCAGCAATTCTCCCGTGGTCTCGGCATCGGATCGCATGCCGCAGCAGCACATCTCCATCT